TGGACTCCCTACAGAGGTTTAAAGGCAGCACAACATGAAAAACACTGGATATTCCCCAAAAACCAGAGCATCTTCTGCTCCATTGCGTCTCCTCTCGTTTTTGTATTTCATCAGTGACTGTTTAGATTCATCTTCTGCAGAAAACTGTTCACGTATGATTGTGTGACTCCGTCTAAGAGCATGACACTGATGTTTGTTTGCATGTTTGGGAGGATTCTTGGTGTATTGATGAGCATTCTCATAAAAGATTCATCTGCTGATGCAGCCTTGCTTGAAAGACATGAAAAAAAAACAACTTTCCAAGATTAGTTTCCCCTGACCCTCGTGATGGATCTATGAACTTTTAACAAGCTTTCACTGGATGTGCTGAGAGGCAATGAAGATGCCAACACAAGGGGCAAAAAATGAGTCCTGGCTTGCAAAGATGCTGCATAATCACTTAAGTCAGTTATGCTGATTAACTTAGAAAATGCAATTAGCTCATCAGAATTCTTTAAATAGTTGGTATAATGAATAGATTGTTAAAGTTATTGACAAAACAGTCAAAGACCTGCACAAACGCTTCCATTGTGCATCACTAATAGCAGTTGTGAATGTGAGACTGACTGAATGATTTGATCTTTATCAAATTAAGCATTCTGAGGCATTTACAGCAACTTGATAGCTTCACACTCCTTTAAGACATTTTATTGTAGTATTTAATTGAATTTAGTCACTCCTGCTCAGTCTGCAGTTGACGTTTTGTGATGAGGCCGTTGGAGCCGTGAGTCTATAGGTTGATTTGCAGCAAGCTATAATGGTGTTGTTTGGTTGAGAAAATAGTAGCAGCGTTAACAACTGTCTCGTTCACAAGTGACAGGGTAACTGAGCCAAGGAGCTCACTGTGTTTTATTATGCAGGTTTAATTTGTCTGCAGACGTATTTGAGTCCCCGTTGTGTTTTTTTGTGCTATTCTGTGCACTCAAGAGTGTAAAATGTTTGTCTAACACTTGTTTATTTCTGTTTTTGTGGTTTTGCTGTGCATATTTGTGTGTATGTATGTGCACGTGGCTACATTGTATCCTGTCTCTCAGCAGGGATTCTTCCCCTTTTCGTCTGCAAACAAACTGTTCTTGCCAGAATAATAGTCTTCCCAGCAGGCAACCTTTTGAAATACAGCTTGACAAAGTTTTTGAATACATTGCTTTATGAGCAGTTGACGAGGATTGTGTTAATGTAAATTAATAAAGTTATCTTAAATTAAAAAAAATTCTCATGTTCTAAACATTTCTTCTGTACAATAGATCATATATTACTAAACTGATCATGCAGCTTATAGCAGCTTTGATTCCTTATTGAAGAGATTTTAGCATTTTTTTAGCAAGACAAAGCATTATACATTGTACTTTTGAGGATTTATAAACATTTTTAGTTTTTTTAATGCTTTGAGGTTCATAAAGTAGATGATTAAGGTATGGTAGGTAGGATTAGATAAAATATTGTATTAAAAGTTGTGTTTTTACAGAAAATATTATATACACTTTCATAGATTCTTAGTTGCCGATTGCTTTCAGCTATATTTTTATTTGAAAAATGTTCTTTGTGACAGTCGGTGTAACGTGATCTTAGATGATGATCAATCTGCGAAGGACACCAAATCATAAAACGTGAGACTACAATTTGCCTATATTCATATAGAAAAATCACAAAGCTTCTTGGAGAAAGTCATTTGAGTGGATGAAACAAAACTGGATCTTTTTTTTTTTGGCAACAAGTCCCATCAATTTTATGTTCACAGATCCAAAAATGAAATGTGTAAATAAAAGAACATTGTACCTACAGTGAAACATGGAGGACTCGGTTCTGTTCTGGGGCTGCTTTGCTGTATCTGATGCAGGGTACAATAAAATCTCAAGACTTTCAAGGCATTCTGGAGTGAAATGAGCTGCCCAGTGTCAGAAAGCTTGGGTTAGTCTCAGGTCAATGGTCTTCCAACAGGATAATGATCCAAAACCCACAGCTAGATGCACCCAAAAATGGCTAAGACCAAAACATCAGACATTCCTAACGTGGTTTTCTGAGCCCTGATCTAAATCTTGTTGAACATCTGTGGAAGGAGGTAACATGTGCGTGCGGTCTGGGGAGGGCAGCCTTTAAACTGAGACAACTGGAGCAGTTTGCTCAGGAGGAGTGGTCCAAATTGCCTGTGCACAGGTGCATGAGACTTAGCGAGTGAAAGGCCAATTTCATTAGTACCAGTACTTATTTTTTAAAAATGTTTTTACCTAAATTCTAAAGCGTCTGATTTTCATGAGATGATTAAATCTTGTTTTACTCTTTTTCTGTTCTTCACAACAACAGTCATTCTACACACAACCATCTGATGCTGTCTGGCCACGCTCTCCTCTGCCACAAACTTACAGTCACTCAAACACTGTACTTAAGTAAAATTACAAATAAACAGACAAAAATGTACTCTAGTAGAAGTTCCACATTGTTTTTACTTAAGTAAAAGTACTTGCTTTTAAAAGTACTTAAAGTATTAAAAATAAAAGTACTTGCTGAGTGTATTACCTAATGCAATCTTTAAGTGTGCCTACATATGTATATTTTCTGTAACACATTAACAGTGTTGAGTCATTTTAATGAACAATGCTGCAGATAATACATGTTTTTATTGTGTTTACTCTGTGACACAGTTCACACTTGGACTTGTGATTCTGTGCGTCAGAATTTCAGGGATGGCCTGCAGAGTTAAATGCCACTAAGCAAATTAAGAAGAGGAATGATTTAACCTTTGAAAGTTTTTATTTAACACAAAGCAAAACCAATGTGTCATTTTAACTGCAGTAAACACATTTAAGTAAAAGTTGTCTGCCTGAAAAAAGGAGCATTAGACCAAACAAAGGAAAAGACTGATAATTTCAACTCCAGTTTGTCATCAACTCTAGTTAAAATACTGTATATTCAACCTTGTAATGGGTCAATAGTGAACAATATTTTAACTTCCTGACACCATTTTTAAAACTTGGACCGAGTGTCGAGACATTTGGAGACATCTCTTGTCTCCTAACATCCCATGAACTGACACATTTTAATATTGCAGCAATAATTTATTGTTCAAGGTCAGAAGATATAAAAAAAAAAACGCAACATGAATGTAACTTGTAATGCCACGCATTATAGAATGTATTGTAGCAGAAAGTACAGATACTTAATGTAAAATGTAGTGGCGTAAAAGTCGAAAGTACCCACTTTTAACTCTACTTAAGTAAAGTACAGATACATGGAAAATGTACTTAAGTACAGTAACAAAGTACTTGTACTTAGTTACATCCAACCACTGCTTACAGTCTCCAATCTCCCTCAGGTTTCCTCTTCCACAAAGAATGTAGTCGACCTGTGTACTCCTTCCTCCACTCTTATAGGTCACTCTATGTTCCTCCCTCTTTTGGAAATAGGTGTTGACTACAGCCATTTTCTTTATCTATTATTCTTTATCTATCTTTATTTTCTTTATCTTCTTTCTCTTCACAAAATCCACCATCTGTCCTTCCTGGTTTCTTCCTTGACACCAAACCTACCCATCACTTCCTCATACCCTCTGTTTCCTTCACCAACATGTCCATTCAGGTCTGCTCCGATCACCACTCTCTCCTTCCTGGGAATACTCTCTATCACTTCATCCAGATCCTTTCAAAATTGATCTTTCTTCTCCACATCACATCCAACTTGTGGAGCATAACCATTGACGTTTAGCATCAGACCTTCTACTTCTACCTTCAGACACGTCACCCTATCTGACACTCTTTTCACCTCTACTACTTTGTACATTCTTTACCAATTCCTCCTTCAGGACCACCCCTACTCCATTTCTCTTTCTATCCACACCATGGTAAAACAGTTCTAACCCTGCTCCAATGCCTCAAGCCTTGCTACTGTTCCACTTGGTCTCTTGGACACATAAAACATCTACCTTCCTTCTCTGCATCATGTCAGCCAGCTCTCTACCTTTGCCTGTCATTGTCCCCACATTTAGAGATGCCACCCTCAGTTCTTCTCTCTCTGTATCCTGACTCATATTCTTCCTCCTGGTCTTCGACTAACAGTGCAGCATGATTAATTGTGTCAAAAGGATGTTTTAGATCCAAGAACAGCTCCAACATAACCTTACTTGTTCATAAGCTTTTGATGTTATTTAAGAAAGAAAACAAACAAACAAACAAACAGGTAGCTGTTTCTGCTGAACGATGTTTGCAGAAACCAAGCTGCATTGAGTAGAAAAGGGTAGCACATACCGTTAAGATTTTTAAGTCTTGCATAGAGATCCTTTTCTCAGCAATCTTAGCAACTCAAAGTAAAATACTAGGAATTGGTCTATCTCTTTTGCAAGGGAGGCCTGGACCTGAAGGCAGCCTAACATGCATGTTTTTGGTCATGTTAATGCTCCTTGAAATATTGATCCCCCACACCATAACACTCAAGGCACATCTAACTAATTTATATTTCCTTTTTTTGGTATGTTTTGTTATTGTCAAAGTTTTATTTCTATATCACAATTAAAACAACGGATGTTTTTCAGACTGTTATGCAATTCAGAAAAATTAAATGGTAAAACAACAATAAAAGCAATAAAATATGAGAATCATTAAAAGAGCAAGTTAGAAAATAAAATAAAATACAGAAACAACTTGAAGCCAAATTTTTTGTTGAATGTTGTGCTATTGAACCAAACACCAAGAGACAAAGATGGGTCTTGAACATAGATTTAAAAGGCTTTATAGTTTCAATAATTCATGCATCAAGAGTGTTCACAAAGTATCAACTGCAAAATACCGATCACTTTTATGTTTTAATGTGAATCTTGGAATATTTGAAATGCATGTTGGTAAAATTGTGTGAAAAATAGCTGTTTTACTATTTAAAGTGTTTCTTGGTTTGAAGTCAGCAGGCTTTCTTTGTGCTACTTCTGCATATCAAAACAAACACCTGCAGAAGCCAGAAAATATTTCCACTCAGAAATGAGCATTTATTACTTTCTCAGAAGGTACTGAAATGGAGCTGAAAGTGATGCAATTTTTATTTAGCTGGTGGAAACCATAACATAAATGAAAAGTGTGAGACACTGTTTACATGTGGTAGAACTAACCAAGAAACGTGTTTGTTTTTGTCCATAAAATCCATTAAAACTAAGGCCCACGAGAGGTTTGAGGAACCCAAGCTTGAGGCTGTAAGTGAGAACAATGTTGAGCTGGTCCAGGACATCCTGAAGGAGCTCAACCCGCTCATACAAAGAAGCCAGGCAGCCGACGAGCTCATCCGAATCCTGAAGGAGCCGCACTTCCAGGTTTGTTGAGTACTGCTGAACTTCTCATTAACACCCTCAAACTTCTTGATCCATTAGCAATAAGATGCAAGTGTTCAAACTATGTTTTCTATGCGACTCTCTCATCAATAGCTCCATCCAGACCACAGCGTTTCTCTCCTGATTAAACCAACTTGTTGCCTGATTGTGTCTCTCTCTCATTCTGCTCGCAGTCTCTCCTGGAGACTCACGATTCTGTGGCTTCCAAAAACTACGAGACTCCTCCTCCCAGCCCCTGCTCGTTTATGGACGCAGCCCTCAACAATCAGCCTGTCCCCCCAGATGCAGTCAGGATGGTGGGCATCCGCAAGGTGTCCGGAGAACACCTGGTAAGACCACTCATTTAGGTTAAATGCACGTTGTAGTCTCAGTGGAAGGACAGAATTTATATAAACTGTAAACAGAAACATTTCTTTAGTGAATGAGATGCACTCAGAAACAAAAGAGCTGCTTGTGATTCTGTTAAAAAGAGAACTCCGTTACACTAATTTGCAATGCATGAAATACATGTTTTATTTGTAAGGTTAGACTTGATGATGATTAATGAAAATAAGTGAAAACTTGTCCAGGCGCTCTGCCTCAGTTTCTAGTTACAATCTTTAAAATCATTCTTCTTGCAGGTTTAACATTTTAAACTAACTGCTACAATTCATGTCAAAGTTGAGGGAGTTGGAGGTAAATCATAGTATATTTATTATTGCTGGTCACGGAAAGTCAGAACATGGATAATAATGTGTGTATATTTGTGTGTGCATGCATGCGTCTGTTGTGTCAGAAAAAAAAACCCAAAAAACTACTGAACAAATTTTAAAGCAACTTCCAGAAAGTAATCTTTATGTGCACATCTACAAGTCCTTACTTTTTGGACTTTATTTGATTTAAGATGGTGACCACAGTTAATCAACCTTAGCCAACACAAAAACGGCTATACAGTACAGTAATTCCTCGATTATTGCAGGGGTTACATTCCACCCACCCGCCCGATGATAGTTGAAAAAACAGCAAAATAGGAACGCTACATTTATTTTTGTATTCATGTATATTTTAAGGCTTTAGAAACCCTTCCCACACTCTTAAAATGTTCTCAACTCTTAACCTATGTAATTTTAACAACATACATATATGTACTGTACAGTACTGCAAAATTTTATATGACTACACACCAGCTCTGCAGAAGCTTGGTTCTGGTCGGGCTTGGTTCGTAGGGTTACCCTGCAGCATGACTAAGCCCACCACTTAGTGCCTCCAACTTGAAGGATGAGTTCAGCTTCAGGATTATTTACCACTTTCCTAGAGTTCTGTGATCATAATAGATAGATTGTTACTTCTAGCTTTGCATTGCAAAACTTTCTCTCCATTTCAGCAGAAAGCAGCGTCCGGAAGCACTGTGGTTTCTGGGTAGTGTAGTTCTTTGACTTGTGTTACAGTATACTGTAGGCTTATTGAAAGAAAACTACAAAATGGCAGCGCCTGTCTGAAGTATTTTTTTCGTTATCTTTTTATCCCATACCATTCCAGTCACATGAGTAATATCAAAATTGACAATCGTTGAAAAACCTCGAAAGAGCAAGTCTGTGAAAGTTGAACCGCGAAGTACGAGGGACTACTGTAACTCATTCAGGTTAACAGGTATTGAGCTTAAATTTTATGTGGCAGTAAAAAGGCACGAGTCCCTAATGTAATACTCATCTTGTACTTAAAGTGCTAGTTTGTGTCGGCTGCCAAGCGGTAATATGTTTATTTTAGTTGGACAGAAAAAAAAATAAACTAGAATCAGCAACGCCACCTAGTTAAACTAGGAATAAGGTAGGTCACATATCGTAGGGGTGAGCAGTGTTTCACAGACCAGGAAAAATGCTGCAAGCAGTCCAAATTGTCAGGATTTGCTAGGAGGGAGCGAACCCAGAGTGCAGAACAGGGACTCATTCGGCAGAATACTTTAATAGGAATTTAATGGTAAATAAAGATACAAAATAACAAGCTGACGGGGCAGCAAAACTTACATGAAACAGGAAGAAGGCACGGGAAACTCAGGAGGACTCAGGAGACACGGGAGACTCAAGGAACTAGGAAGACTCGGGGGAACACAGGAGACCCAACGAGTACGACGCGACGATGAACAAGACTGAACAGACGGCTTATATACAGGGACAAGACGAGACGTGATTACAAACAGCTGGGACGAGACACGGGTGGCACTAATAGAACTAATGAGGGAGCATGAGGGGACACAGACACAAACCGGGCCACAGAAAGGTACCATCCTTACACAAATATTAAAAACCAGGCATGTAGAGCAGTCTGTAAAATAAGGGATTAAAATGTGACACGGTTATAACAGTCTGAGGAAAAAGAAGCAGTCTTAGCTGAGGGGGGCGTGGTCCTTTCGCCCTCGCACGGCGCTCCCAGGCGGTCCAGAGTATCGACCTTCAGTGATCTCCCGGCACTCTATTCAGAGTCCAGCGTCACTCCATGGCCTCGACCACACCCAGCACTCGTACCTCCCTAAGTCTGGCATCCCATGGCGACCTCTACCTCCAGTGATATCCAACATTCTGTCCTCCGCCCTCGACACCAGACCTGGACGACTGCACCCTCCAACCGGGCAAGATCCACAGTGCCGACCAGCTTAGCTGGTTTCTTGTGTGCGTCCTCGCCCCCAATTGCCTCTGCTCTTAATCACTGTGCCTTCAATTTCTGCAATCTGCTACTCTGCTGACCGGCTTGTCCCTAGCTGTTGTCCCTCAGCGGTGGCAGCGCACCCGGCCATTGCGCTCTCCGGCACCGTGCCTCCTGCCCCTCTGCGGTGGCTGCGTGCGTCTGCAGTTCCGTCTCTGCTGCTGCGTTGCACTCTTCTGCTCATTGTTCTGCTCTTTTTATCTCCCCATTCCTGGCTTCCATGTCATTACGGCTGATGTGGAACACCTGCGTGAGCTCGTGTCTCTGACCATATCATGGGTAGCAGCCTCAAAATATGCACAAGCGAGGTTAAATAAAACGTAAATAAAACACAAAAAGCCACATTACTACATTTGCGCATGGTGTGGTGTCGTGATTAAAGGGAGATTTCCAAACAGACCAAGGTGTAGTTCATCAGATTTGTTTCCAAAGCTTTGGAGAGCAGTCCAGCATTCACAGAACATTAATGCACTTACAAGATTACACTCTTATCATTGCTCTCATCCGTCTGAAACGCTGACCTGCTCTAACTTCCTGGACCGGACAAGTTAGTTTTATGGAATTACTCCAGTGCTAGCTCTCAGCCCCTTCCCTCAGTCTGAGCTGTCATCAAAGTCCGCTGCAGACAGGAAGGAGTGAATCTTGAGTCAAGGACTCCTTTGAGGACACGTCACTGTATCACACAGTTGTATCCATATCATATCATTCAAACCTTGAGGATATCAAAAACAGCTAGTTCTTTCCGTTCCTCACCGACTCGTTACAGTAACAGTGATTACACGGGACAGTTATATCACTCACATCACAGTACAGCAGGAGAGCTGTGGAGCATGATGAGTGCAAATACAGTAGTCCCTTGTTTATTGTGGGGGATCCGTACCCTGAAGCCCCATGATAAGTGAAAAACTGCTAAGTAAAGTAGGAATAGTAGTACAAGTAGTGAGTAGTAGTTTATCTTATTAATTATATATATGTGTATATATATGTATATATATATATATATAAAGGCGTTTTAAACCCTTCCCACATTCTTGCAATATTCCAAACAATGTTTTTTAAACTCTAAATGCTCTAAAAGAGCACAGACTGTCATGATTTCAGCTCTCTTGTCTTCAGCTGCTCTCTGCCACCAGTCAGCGCTCTCGGCCACACCCACTCCTCTGCTGCAGAGTGGAGATCCTGACACGCTGCAGCAGGGAGCTTCTCCTGCCGTTGTGGGCTGCACGCAGGTGCTCAATAATTTAAAATAATTTATTTTAAATAAAAAGTTCTATGTAGATCGTGCAGCTCATCCGTCAATCAGCCATTTGTGTGTCATGTCCAATCTTACTTCGAAAAACCGTGATAGAGTGGGTTCGCGACAAACGAACTGCGAAGTAGCGAGGGAGGGACTACTGTAATACACATTACCTTGACAGTGGTTTAGAAACTCTGTCATCAACTTTAGATGTTGAGGTTTTTTTTGTTACCAAAATATCCCATGAATCATTGGAATTTATTAAAACTCTAAAAGTAATTGTAGGATGTACATCTACAACAAAATAACTTTTGGGTGGTAGTAGCTGAGTCAATCGTGTGACATCTTGCAATATTGCACGAGATTATGTACAATGTTGGTTTTGAGGTTTGACCAAAGTGGACACGACTCATTTCTCAACATAAAATGATCTTAATCTAAAACTCTGGCATAAAAGACGACAGGTATTAGTTTATTCAAGGCATGCTAACCCTTTATTTATATACTACTATTTTGTACATAGGGTGTGACCTTTCGAGTTGAGAGTGGCGAGCTGGTGATTGCCAGGATCCTTCATGGTGGCATGATTGACCAGCAAGGTCTGCTTCATGTGGGCGACATCATCAAGGAGGTGAATGGCAAGGAGGTGGGCAACGACCCCAAAGTGCTCCAGGAGATGCTGAAGGAGGCGAGCGGCAGCGTGGTGCTGAAGATCTTACCCAGCTACCAGGAGCCACACACGCCGAGACAGGTCAGTGCATTTCAAAAATGAATGCATCGTTGAATAAATTTTGTGTGCTTTATTTTGCTTAAAAGTACCGGTGTACGGCGGTAATTCATTTTTTTACCCTCCTGTTTGCCACCTCGAATGATGAGTTAAGAAAAACATTTTAGATGACACAAGCTGGTTGAATAATACAGTCAAGATGTTTAATGTTGTGTTTTTTGTGTTTGCATAATTTATTTTAGAAATAACGTCTTCTTTTGTTGCATATAGGTCAGCAGGTGCTTTGTGTAACGTCACAAATAAATGTCATAAATGTCCAACAATTTTCAGTCAGGTCATCGGGACAGTTTATTTTTTTTTTCTGAAACGTTTCACCTTCCATCCTTAAGGCTTCATCAGTCAAGGAAACACACAACACAAAACTGATTCTTCCCCCAAACAGCTTACTCCAAAGTGGAACTAACCAGTTATGTTGGTGCTAAGATGGTGTCTTTGGCACTCCCCCCTCCTCTTGTGCCGGCCCTCTTCCTCGTCGACAGTCATGTCAAACTGGTTTAAAGTCATAAATGTCTTTGTGTTGTGGCAGCTAATAAGCGCTAACCTTCTGTGAGCCGGAGGAGGCCGGTCAAACCAAAGATGTGACCCAGTTTAGATAAGAGATCTTATCTGCTGATGTTTTGCCAAAAGGATGGGAAGACTGGAAGATGAAACAAACACAACTCTGTGACTGATTGCTCTCAGCAGTATGTGAGTCAGAAGGAGTCATGCTAAATTAATTTTACACTAGACTAAAGTACACTTGAACATCATTTCTAGGAAAATGATTCATAAAAGGTTTGTGTGCTAGGGCTTTATGCTTATATATTTTCTATTTTCTGTGCCTTGTTCTTGTTTTTTCAACATGTTCTTTTGTTACTTCAGTTCTTGTCACACAGATGTTTAAACAAGAACAAGAACTGACTTTTGGCGTTTAAAATTGTGGCAGCAAAGGTCAAAGGAAAGGTTTACAAGAGAACAGTGAGACCATCTGTGTTTAGTTTGGAAACAGCAGCACTGACAATAAGACAGGAGAAAGAACTGGAAGTAGTAGAAATGAAGATGTTGAGGTTCTCCTTAGGAGTGACAAGGATGGACAAGATTAGGAATGAGATCATCAGAGGTGCAGCACAGGTTGAACAACTGGGAGATAAAGTTAGAGAGACCAGATTGAGATGGTTTGGACATCTCCAGAGGAGGGACAGTGGGTATACTGGTAGAAGGATGTTAGAAATGCAGCTGTCAGGAAAAAGACAAAGAGGAGATATATTGATGCAGTTAGAGAGGACATGGAGGTAGTTGGAGTGAGGACAGAAGACGCAGAGGCCAGAGTGAGATGGAGGAGGATGACTCCCTGTGGAGACCCCTGAAGAGGAAAAAGCTGAAAGAAGATGAAATGTTGGGATATTTAAAGAAATAAAGAAATAAAAACTTTTTTCTGTCACTTCACTGTCAGTAAGACAACTGCAGCTTTCAGTCCGTTGTAAAAGCTGTAAATGTTTCCAATACAGTATGTTATACAACTTTATTTACTTCCATTGTCTGTTTTTATTGTGCATGTATGACTGAATCATACATCCAGTAATGTGCAGGCTTTTCTTCAAGACAGACTTTTTACACTGTATATTTCTAATTCCCTTGTTTTCCACCAACTGGAGTATCTGCGTGTAATTTTTATTGTGTACACTCGAGATCTAAAAAGTCCTCTTTAAACGCTCAGAAGTGGCTGTCAGTCAGCGATTTTTAAAGGAAAAACAGGTTATGCTCACACTGCTGAAAGCTGTGTAGGTGGATGGAGTGTTTGGAGTTAAGGTTCTCTTTAAATGTAATCCAGCTGTCGACACGTCCTGCCCGGCCTCGAGCCTGCCGATCGCTGAGTGACTAAACCAGAGTTGACAGCTCCATTTGGCTGCAGGTCACTGCTGTGTGTCTGTTTCTGTAGAGAAATGAGACAAACAGGACAACGGGGACCAACGGGCTTTTTTACATTCTTACATCAGTTTAGTATTAGACTCAAAAAAAAAAAAAAAAAAAAATGGGCAAAGGGAAGGGGATGGTTGCCATGACTACAGATTTCATCTCCATCCTTATTTCTTTGTCTTCCTCCCTATTTTCCCTTCCCATCTGTCAGTCTCTTATGCTCGCTGTCTGTGTGAGTTCAGATTGACAGTTTGACTTTTCAGCTGAATCCAGCACATCTGAGATGATGTGTTTCATACAGATGAAGTCCATTCATCACCATCACCACACCTTCTTTAAACTGGGAGTTTATTTAGTCCAACAGCAACGTTTCATTGACATGCTCCTTCTTTCTTTCAGGCCTTTGTGAAGTGTCACTTCAATTACGACCCCACTCATGACAACCTGATTCCCTGCAAGGAAGCAGGACTCAGCTTCAGCAGCGGAGACATTCTGCAGATTTTTAACCAAGAAGACCTCAACTGGTGGCAGGTAACTTTAGCCACCATCAAGTTTAGTTATCATCCACAGAAGATGGAAGTCTGGCATGTTCATGTCTTTGTGTGTGCTTGTGTGCATTTTTCTGTCCGTTATCATAATTTCCTATATATGTAATTCAAATACTAAAAGCAGTCATTAGATATACAAATACAGCTAATTAGCCAGTCCAGTTGAGGATGTTTGCGTCAATTAGTCAAGCAATTATTGTTGCAGATGATTAGCCAAAATTTGATTTGGTAGTAGCTGAAAATTATTTACAGCATACTGATTACTACAAAACATGGCAACATTGCGACATTACACATATTTTTGTAAACGCCTGGTCTAGGAGTAGTCAGGACTAAAATAAAGATGATTCCAACTTTTGCACAGCTCTGGCATTGACTGAGACGAGGTTGTAATTTTCTAGAAAAGTCAAAGTGTGTAAAATATTTACAAAATGGGTGCGTTCAGGCCAACACAATAAACCAAATGTAGACTTATTGATTTTCTTACCTATGCACATAAATAAAGTTAAACAAAACACAGTTTTCTTACCTTTTTAAACTAACAATACAGGAAAAAACGATCTTAAAAGGAACGTCAGCAAAACTACTTACAACTTATCAGGCAGCTCCTCAGTTTCTTTCATCCTATCATGTCCATTTACAACTACAGTAGTCCCTCACTACTTCATAGTTCATTTGTTGCTAACTTTCTCTATCGTGGTTTTTCAAAATGAGATTGAACATGACACACAATTGACTGATTGATGGATGAGCTGCATGATTGGCATGGAATTTATTTAAAATTAATTATATTAAATTATTTAGCACCTGTTGCATGTGTGTGCAGCCCACAGCTGCAGGAGAAGCTTCCTCTTGCAGCTCCTCCTTCCTCCTCTGTCTATCTCCACTCTGCAGCAGAGAAGTGGGCGTGGCCGAAAGTGCTGGCAAGTGGCAGAGAGCTGAAATCACAATCATAACATTCTGTGCTCTTTTAGAGCATTTAGAGCTGAGCAACATTGTTTAGAATATTGCAAGAGTGTGGGAGGGGTTTAAAACACCTTTATATATATATATATATATATATATATATACACACTAAATAAACTATTACTTGTACTACTATCCCTACTTCACAGTTTTTCACTTATCGCAGGACTTCAGGGTACCGATCCCCGCGATAAACGAGGGACTACTGTATTAGATTCTCAAACAAAGCTATATAACAACAGTCGTAACGTTGTTGTTGTTTTCAAATGTTAACTAAACTGACGATGGCTCCATCATGAGATCACTTTGTAACTTGTGCAGGAAAGACAGCAGGCAATATGCTTTCCTTCAAGGAATAGCTGGGCTGCTGTGTTTCCTTTTCTTGCATATGCTGCAGTTGTGTGTTGTTTCACAGGCCTGTCACATAGAGGGGGGGAGTGCCGGCCTGATTCCCAGCCAGCTTCTTGAAGAAAAGAGGAAGGCTTTTGTGAAGAGAGATATGGAACTCGCTACAACAGGTAGAAGTGCCTCCAATTATATTTATTTGACACAGATTTCTTCCTGCACAAACAGTAATAAGGACATCTTTTCTCTGTATAACACAAGTACTGCGTCAGGCGCTCGTCTTCCTCTTACCTCTCCTAAGAGATCCTTTCACTGTGAGTACACGAGAGTCTGTGACGAGCTTGAAAGGAACGCAGGCGGCTCGAAACAATCTGCAGGTTATTAAGCTGCAGAATCTGACGTTTACAAACTGCCCTTGCTGAGAAGGAGCATTGACTCAGGAGCGGCGGTAAAACCCCCGTAAACAAAACCCTGATCAATAACGATCTGCTCTCTTATACGACATGGAGCGAACAGAGTCTTTATGTGTTCGCATCGACCTGCTCTACGGAGAGTCATCGCCAGCAGCTAAACAGGTGGTGAGGCAGAGCGAGCTGGTTGCCCTTCACTTATGGAGGAGAGGACACTCCAACTTTACTGTCCTTGGAGGCTGTCTGTTGGCACATTTTCCCTTCTGTTTTAATTAATTAATTAATTTTTAACCAAAAACATACTTAGAATAACGATGTTTAGATCGTATGCTTTCAGATGGTGAGATTTTTTCAACCTTTATTTATACAGGTTAGTCCCGTTGAGCCACGGGGACTCATTTACAAGAGAGACCTGAATTTGACAATGAATAAAATGTTTAATAAGTTGCTCTTTAAGCGCTTAAGTGAGCTAATCTTTGTTTCTTTATTATATTTAATTTGTGGACAAATGTTGTCATATTGAACAGAAGGTCAGCAGATTGCCAAGTCACAGGTGTTCTCTGGCACCAAACTAGTTACACAGACTGATCACTGTTGGTGCACACTGCCATCTAGTGGCAGCTTGTACTTATTATCTTATTACTAGTGCACGTGTGCACAGGTACGCGTGTACATGTGTATTATGCATGCTTTCTCAAGTTTCACCATCTCATAATGTAAACCAATTATTTTTTCACACATATGAAGAATTCAGACCTGCATACCTGCGTGGTTAAATGTTTATCAGATGGTGTAGACTTCTGTATATATAAAAATGTGTTATTCTTATATGCATTATCTTTATTTCAATCTTCACGTATGTTTGGTGGCTCTGAGCCGTTTAGTAAAAAATATCCAGCATGAGCTCCTCTGATAAAGGTGCAGACCTCTGCTCCAGGGTTCTGACGTTTTGACCGGGCAGAGCTTTTACCTTCGGGGTAAATTGTTTCAACTTTGGATTGAGTTGAAATGGCTGCAGAGATAAGAGTAATGTTTGGTTTGACTGAGCTGAGCTCTCTGTCTCAGGTCCTCTGTGTGCAGGAATGGGTGGGAAAAAGAAAAAGAAGATGATGTATTTGACCACCAAGAACGCAGGTAAGAGTCGTCCTACTGGTCGCAGCTTTGAACAAGCGCAGTTTGCCGTTTAGCTTGTGTTTGTGTCTGATTTCTGCTTTACTAGAGTTCGATCGGCACGAGTTGCGGATTTACGAGGAGGTTGCCAAAGTCCCGCCTTTCAGGAGGAAGACGCTGGTTCTGATTGGAGCGCAGGGCGTCGGTCGACGTAGCCTGAAGAACAAGCTGCTGGTGTCCGACGCTCAACGCTACGGCACCACCGTCCCCTGTGAGTGCAGCCGCTCAGCATCAGACTAACCACAAATACTCTCCCGCTTTCTTTGTTTGTTTATTATTAGTTTTTTTTTGTTAAAGCATTTTATACAAATATTTATTTATACTTGGCAAAATTCCAATACAGACATGTTCCGGTTTTTAGTATTCTACACCGCTGGTTTTTCACTACTTTCCTTTTAATTATCCTTTTAATTACCATTTTATTTTAACTTGTTTAAAACAAAAAAAATAATTTGTATCCATCCTTTATGATTGTTTATTATTGTCTTTGTTGTCCACTGTTGTCATCAGTCTTTGTTAAAATCAAGTCTCTTTTGTACATGAGTCCCTGAGGCTCAATGGGATTAACTTGTATAAGTAAAGGGTGAATGAATGAAACAGAAGTTAATGCAAAGTCCCCAAAAAGTACATTTACAAGAACGTGCGTGTGCATGTGTGTGTTACCAAACTCCTAAACCACTGGATGGGTTTTAATGAAACTTTCAGAAAGTTATCATTGGCTGTACATCTACAACTGATTCCCATTTAAAACCAGCTCGATTCAAGATGGCTGCCACAGCCAACAGACCCATATGCATTCCTCCAATTTCTTTTGTGTGAATTTCTTTATTTTCTTTTATTTTTATATTGGATTTGTTTGTTTATTATCAGTTTTTGTGCTATTGGTTTTTAATCTCACGTATTAAATACTTTCTTGTATTTCTTCTTTGCGTTTGAACAGCTTATTCTTGCATTTTCCCCATCTCTTTACTATTCCGTCTCTGTGTTCGTACCATGCGAACATTCTTACACGCGTCTCTGCACTGAACCTGATCGGTTTCTGTGTTTGTATTTGTTTTTGCTACAGTCACCTCTAGAAAGCCGAAGGTGGATGAGCGGGATGGTCAGATGTACTCCTTCATGTCCCGGAGCGAAATGGAATGTGACATCAGAAACGGGCGTTTCTTGGAGCACGGCGAGTATGACGGGAACCTGTACGGCACAAAGATCAACTCCATACACGACGTGATAGAATCAGGAAAGATCTGCATCCTGGATGTCAACCCACAGGTGGATGTTTCCTCTTTTCCACCCTTTAGTGTCTTTTCATGACTAAAATAGAAATGTTCCTTCTTCTACAACCTGTTGCTACACATCTGTTTCTAGGCTGAGTAATTTAGCATTTTAACCTCATTCCAATACATTTTTCATAGAAGTTTTTCATTGTGTAGCAATCAGAAATGTGCCTGTGTTTATCTGAAGGCTCTTAAAATCCTGCGGACGTCTGAATTCCTGCCGTACGTTGTGTTCATCGAAGCGCCCGACTTTGAAGTCCTCAAAGCTATGAACAGGTCAGCGATTGAGTCAGGAGTAGTCACTAAGCAGCTGACGGTAAGTTGGAGCGAATCAATGACAGGGATTCAACATTACATATTGATCAACATTTGAATCAAAGTGCACCGACAGTTGGAGGCATGTTTTTTACTCACTATTTTTCAGGTAAATGTGCTAAAAGCACACTGTCCTAATGCACTGCATCCCCTAAAAAACAAAACTAATAGGCTATATAAGCTTATTTTATAAATACGTCATTTCTAACATTGTCCTGTTTAAAACTATAATTGCTTATTATTTGTAGACGTTTAATGCATTTTATTCAATTCCCATTTGAGAGGCTTAAAATTAAGTGCCGCAGAATTTCAAATCACGTCACAAAATAGTAAATCTGACAGTTTTTCTAAACCACATTTATTTTTATTAAAAACTGTTGTAACGCCTGTGCATAATGTTATTTTCATGAGTTGATCAAAACAGCCACAGTTCCATCATTTCCTTATGGAATACAAGGCCTTTAATTTAGAGTGTTTTATATTTTAAATGCCAAAAAAATTGTGTTTCTCTTTGATTCTCATTGTTTATAATAATTTGACAGTAGAACGGTGTCGTTTGATGCAATCGAAACAAAACACAGAGGTTTACCACTGTTGATAAACAGTGCAATTTAAAAATGCAATATGGCGTCAAAATAAGATTACACATTTTTTAATAATCTCAGGAATAAACTTTACTGTATCCTCACACCTATCTGAAGCTCTGCATCAAAACCAAACATCCAGTAATCCTGAAGCGTAGATCACCTGATGGGCTAAACAGCTCCTAAAATTACTGTCATTGAACGCAGCACGTTGTTGAATTCACAAATCTAAATGAAACTCTTTTAGCTTTTAGCGGAGCAAAGTTTTATCATTTTCATCAAATAACTAGAAAAATGAGATGAGACAGCTGAGTGTTGACTGAATCTGCTGAAATTTGTTAAAGATGAAACTTAATTGTAAAATCACATCAAGCAGAACAACAGCTGAAACAACTAAAACACGAGCTAAAATGAGCAGAACAATAAAAGCTAAAACTATCTCAAGAGTAAAGCTAAAACCAGTAAAACCATTGATTAAAGTTACATTTAGCTTAACTGTAACTTAAAGCAAAGAACTAGCTAATCATCAGCTAAAATATAACATTAGAAAAGTAATAACCAAAAGCTAAGGGGGTGAGTGGTGGTGTAGTGGTTAGAGAAAGCAGGCCTGTGATTGGAAGGTCACTGGTTCGAATCCCCTGACCGTTACATCAACGTGAATTGGAAAGGCGCTCTCAATGGCTCCCAACCCTGATCCTTGAGGAACACCATCCTGCATGTTGTAGTTGTTTCTCTGCTCTGACACCTGATTTTAATTAATGGGTAATTAACAGGCTTCTGCAGATCATGAGGAAATAAATCACTGAATCAGGTGCGTTGGAGCAGGGAAACAACTAGAACATGCAGGATTGTGTTCCTCAAGGTCCAGGGTTTGGAACCACTGAGTGGAAGCAACTCGGTGGTAGTTGCATTATGAAAGGCATCCATAATAAAAACCATCTCGTCAAATCTTTGTGGGAGTTAGTCGGCTGTGGCCATTCCTTGAAGAAAGGAGCATCCAAAAGAAGAAGAAGAAAAAAAGCCAAGATTAGAAAAAGTGGTAAATCAGCAAAACAGTAGCTGAAATTAGCCAGACCATAGCTATAAACGAATTTTAACAAAATTAAGTGCAAATGCTAAATAGCTCACAGTATGGTGATGTCTGATTGCATAAACGTACAGAAGAAAACTTAATGCTGACTCAGCGTTAACACGTAAACATTTATCTCAGTGGTGACTGATTCCAGCAAGAAAATTGCATTCCTCACATTCAGACTTTCTTAGTGGACAGTTTTTGTTGTTGTTTACCTCCTCTGTCCGTGCTCCTGACAGGACTCTGAACTGAAAAGGACAGTGGATGAGAGCGAGCGCATCAAGAGAGCCTACGGACATTACTTTGACCTCTGCATCATGAACGACGGGCTGGAAGCAGCCTTCCGAAGTCTACGTGTGGCTCTGGAGAAGCTGTCGACGGAGCGTCAATGGGTGCCGGTCAGCTGGGTGTTCTGAACGCTGGTCGGTTTCTATCAGGAGAAGAAGGGGTTCTGCGTCCACGTGGAGCAGCTGAGCATAAATCAGTGCAAAAGATCAGCCTCATGTAGAGCATTTTTGTACAAACTGTGTTCCTCTGTTGAGCCCAACGTCAAGCTGTAATTTGTTTGTCCAAACTGGAATAATCTTATCGATGTTTGTTCAGGAGGGTTAGAGTTGAGGTGTTCGTGCGTTAGTCCGAGCGTGTGTGTCGTCAGTGGAAGGACCGTTTTAGCCTTTACAAATCTTTAATCAAATCGTTTTCGTAGTGGTTACGTTGGATGATCAGGAGAGACGGAGCAAAGGTACCAAATGTTGCATTTGTAATGAATAATGCACATTTTGCCATTTTAACATACGGTTGTTTGGAAACGTGTTTAATCTTATAGTCTTCTTTGGTTTGGAAGTTAAATAGCAATAGATGATTTAAAACACATGCAGTGCATTTATCCATTAACTCTAATGTGGACACACACCGCAACATTCAGAAACAAACAGGAGGGGGTGGGGATGTCTTTGTTGAGAGGTTTTATTAATCTTATCATCATGGTTTGTTTTACTGCCAAAAGGTGAAAGATGGGCAATAATGTTTTTTTGCCTGTGTGTGTATCTTTGTTTGTTTGTTAGCAACATATCTCATGAACTATTGAATGAACTTTAAAGAAATTTTCAGAAAAGTCTTGAGTGTAAATCTACAAGTGATTAACGTGTGAAGCCGACCTAATTTAAGATGGTCGCCACAGCCAATTGACCTTAGCAAACATAAAAATGGTTATAACTCAGTCACTTTGTAGATAGTGAGCTAAAAGTGCTAGTGGTAGTAGCTGAGAATAGTTGTCAACTCATAGACTGAGCGCGACACACTTGGTGAGATTTTTGCCTAAAATTTTACAACTTGCCACTGGAATCAAACTGCTGTTAGGAAAATTTCTCATGAATCACCACTGGTTTTCATGAAACTTTCAGAACGTACTCATTAGATGTACATCTAAAACTCATTACCATGTGGATTCAGACAGATTTAATATGGTAGTAGCTGAGGGTCATAAATATTACATGCTCCAAGTGCTAACGAATCGCCTCGAGGTTTGAACGCTGTCATTTCTCAACACAAGATCTTAGTTTAAAACTCTATGAAAGGCAGCGGGCAATATGCATTCCTTCAAGGACTGCTAAGGCTTTAATCTTTTTAATGTTTGTGACAATGTTTTATTTATATTTTCTTGTCCTGTGCTGGAAAAGTTCTGATTTGTTTGCCATTTTGAGAAGCCAGCAGAGGGATCACTGTGTCTCCAAACGGCCTGCTCGATCCTGTTGGAGTTTCTTTTGTAGCACTGATTACATTTAAACCCTAAAAAGGAGCAAGAAACTATCCTAAGTAGCCTAGACTAGAGTATGCATTGTATAATGAGGGGGAGACATATTACCTGAACATCATTTATTGGACTATTAATGGATGAACTTTTTTATGTACAAGCATTTAAAGAATTTCCAAGTGGCTTAAAGTCATATTTAGTTTTGCCTTAATATGGTTCACAAGCCAAGGAAACATTTTTTCCCCGTCTTGGAGCATTTCACTTCTTTTGATGTGCTTGTTCTTTATCAAAAACAAAAGATTATACAAGTCTAGCAACTTATTTATTTCACCTTTGTTTAAACCTGTAAGTACTGTACTGTAATAAAAAGTGTATAATATAACATAAAGCAACTCTTGGATGATTCTGCAGGTGTTCAAGATGCAGCTCAACTGCAGTTTGACCCTTATATAAAACAGGGTGGTAAATAGTTGTTTTTACTGTTTATTTAGAATTAAAGTTATAATATAAGAAATAATGACAACAGTGAGCTTGCAGAAATGTACAGGATGGAGGATTTGTTGACAGTTTAGCTGAAGGATGCTCTGTGTGACCTCGGGGGTGTTCAGGTGGTATTGGTTGATGGAGGAAGATGGGGTCTGTGGAGGTTCTGTGTCATCCAGTGAGGCGCCAGGGGAATGGTTATTGGATACATCTCACAGGGAGGCGGGGGGTCACCGGGCCAAACGTTAGTCAGCTTCGGGTCAAACTGCAAGAAAAGGGTTTAAAGATCATTTTGAACACAGTCAGTCACAATAAGTTTTTCATGTGATTTCTGATTTATATTTAAAATAATGGTGAGTTTTGCATTTTTTTACAGGATTATTTTAAACTTTGAACACATCTATTGTAAGTTTTAGATTTTAAATAGACCCTCAGTGTCCTGCAGCGAAAACAAACTGACTTGAAAAGAATTAAAGCCACAAGTTTGCGGCCCTGTTTACACGACAACGATCCAATGAAAACTGATTTTTTTCCCCCCCATGTCTATTAACACATTTACATGAAAACGTTCTAATTACAATCTCTGTCTACACAGCAACGGTAGATGTGGAAAAGGTGTAATTCCTTCGCCACGCCACTAGTTGGTGCTATGTTCGTTGAAACTCAGTGCGCATGCGTTTAAAAAAAAGTACCTGGAAGCTGCTACAACAGTCGAGATGGCAGAGAATAAAATATTTCTATGGACAGACATCGAGGTTCAACATCTGCTTAGGATGACTTTGAATTATAAATCCACTAAATTTCAAGAGAACTTTGACTGGGAATCTGCCAGTCCATTGTCGATAGTTTCTTCTTCTGTGGGTTGTAGGAAGCCCTTATGTTTTGCGTCATACTGTGCATGAGCCAGGGATTCCCTGACAGAAATCTATTTTTTCTGTTTACACGACAACGGAAACCAGGACGTTTTTGAACCATTGCACTCGGCCGTTCTCAAATCGTGCCGTTGTCAGAGAAAACATTCTCTATTTTCGTGTAAATGAACAGTACAAGCGCAACAAAACTCTTTCATTTTCACCAGAAATCGTTTTGGTGTAAACAGGGCCCAAATGAATAGTGATTCTTGTGAAAACGCTGACAAATTTCTTGTTGTAAGTCCCGTTTAAACATTTTGGTCAAAGTTCAGCCTCGAGTTCTGATTCCCTGTCAGTAAAGTCAGTGGTTAATTAAGTTATCTGACAATTACAAATGAATAAAATCAGTTTAGTCGCACTAAGTCACGTTTAAATGCTAAATAAAAAGGTATTCACTGCAAGGCATGCTTGTGTAAAATTGGTAATTTTCAGTATTTTTTAAATGATTCAGATCTTTTGAAGTGGGATTTTCTGAAAAGGTTGTGAACAATATATTACCTGCTGTAGAGAACTCACTGAGCTGCCTCCGTTAAAGAGGAAATTAGAGTAATTTTAATCCAGTTGACAAACTAAAGACCTGGACCAAAGTGGAAAGCTGCCATTTTAAACTTCTCAAATCTTAAAAAAATGTACACTCATGCAAACAGTATTTTGTACCTTTTTACACAGCTGTCAATTTGACATTACACGAGCATTTTCTGTTCTTATAGTGACATTTTACATGTCAGTTTTTATGCAGTGTGTATCTACTCTGCCAGCTTGACTAGGATTCCCCAGAAGAAGAAATTATTTCAATGGAGACTTCCTTGTTAAAACTGGATAGATTAATTCAAATAAATCTGGTCAGACTTCAACACTCTTCAATCGGAGGTTCTTCAAAGAGCTATCTACAACAGGTAAGATACTTGATCATAACCTTTCTTTTTCTGTACCTTTTTCTAGTTGGACCTAAATGTTTTTATTAAAAAAAATAAAAAAATCTAAGCACTTGTTCCAAAAATAGAATAAAAATTAAATATGCATCAGCGCTCAAATCACATCGCACATTTATGTGCAAAGTGATCTGATGATCTCAGCTGAGTAGTTGTTCCTCACCAGTGAGTATGGTGGTGGGTGATCCACGGTGCTGTAATGAGGAGGGGGTTGGTCAAAATGTGCGTCCTCTTCCACCTGATCCACTGACGAGGAAATTGCTTGTATTTGCATCGGAATATTGCCATCACCTTCCCCTCGTTTCTTTTTTAATAGAAGATAGAAGCAGAGGAGTATGGAAGCAATGGAGATCACCAGGAAGGGCAATCTGGGGACACATTTTAAAACCAGATGAACGTAAACTTCCTGTAATTTTTTTTTTCTTTGTTAACTTCATGTGAAAACTTACATAAATGGAAAGATATTCTCTATTTCTGTCATAGCTGGAGTTTTATCAACCTGCTGACATTATTGAGACAGAAAAAAAAAGAGTTTATTGACCCACAGAAGAGTAGAAGAGTATTTATTATCACTGATATGAATCAAGAACAAAAGTATGTGAATTAGACTTTTATTGACAGTGGAAATGAAGATCAGATTTAATTTTCAGCATGAATCTATTATCTGGTGAAAACTACAATAAGCACAAATTACAGTACAAAAAACCCCAACTGTGTTATAACAAGTGATAGTAGTAAAATGTCAGCATTTCTTTTCCAGCTCATGAAAACTAACTGAGCAGTTATGAGACATTTATGCTGACTGTCTACTCAAAGGGTTATGACCTGTAGAGGCCCGGTGACATTTCAGTGGTACCGATGCAATGATTTTTTGTTTTTGAATAAAGAGAAAGGTTAATCTTCGCACAAGAACTATTCCACTGGTTTGTCAGCAGCAGAAAGAACCAACAGTAACTGACTTGAGTTTTACCTGCAGTGAACCTTCATCCTATAAATCTGTTGATCATTACAGCTGTAGGTTTAAAACATGAACCCAGTTCTCTTTTTTACACCTAACACACACAGCGGAGACAATGATGCAGTACTTGGACTGTCATGATTAGTTGACAGAAGCATGTTTTTTTTTTTTTTTACCTTGTTTAAAAAGCCAAATCAGAACCGGTCCTGTCCCGCGCGGGCTGCTGTCAGAGGATAATGTGTCACTCAGGGAAGTGAGTTTTTACAGCATCACTGTCCTGCTTAAAGACACAGATACAGCCGGTGTTCTGGCTCTGACACGATTTCTGTCCGTGAGGAAGTAAAGCCTTCAAAAACATTAATAACTCTGGTTCCTTCACTAACATGTCTATTCAGGGCTGCTCTGATCACCACTCTCTTGTTCCTATGAATACTCTATCACTTCATCCAAATGCTTCCAAAATTTATATTTTTCCTCTACATCATATCCAACCTGCAGCTCCCTCCACATAATGCCCTGAGGAACATGATCATAAACTTTATCCAGGTCCACAAAACACATGCAGATTAGATGCAAACTCTCATGACCCCCTTAGCAACTCTTCAAGAGTGAAGATCTGGTCCACTGTTCCATGACCAGGAGAGAAGTCACACTGCTCCTCCTGAATCCAAGGTTCAACAATCTGTTAGGACATCCCTTCCAACATCCTGGAGTAAACGTTCTCGGGAGGGCAAGAAGTCTGATCCCACAACAGCTGGAAGACATGCTCTGGTGCCCCTTTCTAAAAAATTGAACCACCACTCAAGCCTGCCACTCCATAGATGTTTTCCCAGTCCTCCAAGCAACACTGA